TTCCAAGGTCCTTTACAGAGCTTGGGTCATCAACAAGATCTTGACTATTCAGCTTGTATTTTATTTTCTGATTTTTTTTGCCAATATGTAAGACAGAGCATTTATTTGTTGAGATTTGAAGTTGCCATTTGTTTGACCATTCTGATACATAGTCAAGATCTTTTTGTAGGGTAGCAGTATTGTCTGTGGTATTGAACAGCTTTACATCATCAGCGAAAAGAACGCAATTGCTCTTAATATGATCACAGAGGTCATTTATGTAGAGTATGAAGAGAGTTGGTCCTAGAACACTGCCTTGGGGGACACCACTATTGACAGGTACAGAATTTGATAGGACGCTCCCAATTTTGACCATTTGTTGTCTGTTTGCCAGGAATGCTTCTATCCAGTTATTCAGTTGTCCAGAGATACCATAGGATTTTATTTTTAGGAGTAGTTTGTCGTGTACCACTGAATCAAAGGCTTTACAGAAGTCTATGTAGATTGCGTCTATTGCTTTGCCCTGGTCGAGTTGTGTCGTCCATATGTTTTTGCAGTGTAAGAGTTGCAGATTACAGGATAGTTTTTTTTCTGAAACCAAATTGTTTATTGGAGAGTAGGTTGTTTGTCTCTAAGTGGAGGATGATGGATTGGTTTATAATTGATTCCATGACTTTACAGGTGACGCAGCATAAGGAGATTGGCCTGTAATTTTCAACTAGGCTTGGGTCTCCCTTTTTGAAGATGGGGATGACTGTGGCTTGTGACCATAGGTTAGGCAAGGAGCTGGTTCTGAAAGATTTTTCAAAGATTATGCTTAGAGGTTTGGCTATGGCAGTGGATAGCTTTTTTAAGAAGTAGGCACATATTCCATCCGGTCCAATAGATAAAGATGATTTTAGATTGCGTAGTGCTTTTTCAACATTGTCTTCTGTAAAATCGATATGTATTAGATCATTGTTGTTATCTGTGGTACGGCTAGGAAATACTGGGCATGATCCATTGCTGTTTACAAATACTGAGCCGAAGAATGTGTGAAAGATGTTGGCTTTAATGGTGTCGTCATTGCAGTCTTTACCATCAGGTCCTATCAGGGGTGGGATGGACCTTGAATCTTTTAGTTTGTTGTTTACAAAATTGTAAAAAGCACGGGTGGAATTGGTGCTTAGAAGGTTTTCCTCTTGTTTAATGTGATAATTGGTGCATTCGGTCTTTATCTGGTGGCATAAATTTTTGTATCGGCTTTTGAAATTGGCAACGTGACCAGATTTGTTTTTCCGCCAGAGTGATCTCTTTTTGGATTGAAGTTTCCTTATTGTTATGGGTAATCTGCTTTTTTGTTTTGTTTTGGGAGTTGTTGTTGGTACATATAGTTTGATGACTCTTTTGACTTCAAGTAAAAATATGTTGTAATGGTCTTCAACAGTATTGCATCCAGTGAATAGAGATTGCCAATCAAGGGATGAGAGATCGTTGTCTATAAGATCATAGTTGCCTTTTTTGAAGTTACAATTAGGGATTACATCATTGTGGTGATTTTTGTGTGGGCGTATGTTGAGACAAAAGTCAATCATATTGTGGTCACTGCTGGAAAAGGGTTCTTTAGTTTGTATTCCGTAAATTAAATTCAAACTATTGCAGAAGATGAGATCAAGGCAGTTGTTTAGTCTAGTGTTGTTGGTTACTAGTTGTTCCAGTCCCAGATTTGTAATAGCATTGTAGAAGGTTGTGTGTATGATTTCAGTTGTACAATCATTTAGGGTCCAGTCAATATGAGGTAGATTGAAATCACCAAGAAAGATAAAAGGGTATGGGCAGGATGTAGCCCATGTTAGTAATGTATTTAGCTTGTTTACATGTTCGATGTCATAATCAGGTGCTCTGTAACATAGTAAGAATCGAATTGTGATATTTAAGGATAGTTCACAGATGATGGTCTCAGGAAGAGCAAGCTCCTGGGTAACTTGGATATTTTTTAGATGTAAGGACTTTTTATAGAAGATAGCAACACCACCTCCTCTACGAATTTCACGATCTGATCGGTAAACATGATAGTCTCTTACTGTGGTAATGGAGTCAGGGAGAGATGCATTGAGTCATGTTTCACAGACAAATATAATGTCGAATTTAGCCATTTATCATTACTTTTGCTGATTGTTTGTAATATGCCTCAATTGTTTTAATAAATCTTTCTCCAAAGCCCATCTCTTCCATTTGCAGCAACATAAATTGCCAATTTACATTATCAAAAGCTTTCTGTGCATCTAAAAAAACCAAGGCCATTTGCTTCTCTGGGTGTGTTTCATAGTATTCCAATGTATCCAATATTATCCTCATATTGTCTTTTATTTGTCTCTTAGGCAAAAAATCAATTTTGATCTGTATGTATAAAGTGGTTCAAATATCTTTTAAGTCTTTCTGCCATTATTGAGACAAAAAGCCTCCATTCCGAATGCTGAAGTTTCAGAATGGAGGCTTTTTGGCGAACGGGAGGAAAATGGGGAGGGGGAATTTTTCTGCCTGCCATTCTTCCCTAAGTCTGTGCTAAGCTTGAGGAATAGCTCCTTTTGGCCACTACAGAAGTGGCCTGGTGGAGAGGCAAGGCATGTGGGGCATTCTTTCAGCTGTGATAGAAGCAGCCCAGTGGCTAGGCTAGGCACATGGGGGGGAAATTAAAACACCCCTCGAAAAGACAGCCTAGCCTTTTTTTAGGGGTCTAGAAAATAAGGCCCTGTCTTATTTTCTGAAAAACACGGTACATATTATCTTGGCTGATATGGAAATAGAATGAATGGATGGCGTAACCTGTCCACTGAAAACAAAAAGCAATCAATATACAGAACTAAATGAAAGAATAAGTAACAGAGATAGAATGTCCTGTTGTTAATTGTGCCATTTCATTACCATCTGTTTGAATACAGGAATTCCACGTTAATATTTTAGTGAGAACCATTAGTTCATTTGCACTGGAAATTATCACATGGGGTTGAAAAATAAATTCTTGCTAAGTTGATAAGAATATAAACAGCCAAAACTGTATGTTTTACCACTCTCTTCTGATAGCCTTTTTAATAGAAAAATGGATTCTAAATACTCTCAACAGTGGGTTATAAGTACTACAGATAATTATATGAACTGCATGTAAAACCAGAGATTTTAATGGCTCTATGTCTGCTCTTGCAGTTGGTGTGTATTGTTGATTATTTTTAGAATATAGCCTTTATTCTTATCTCAGTAATTATTGCCTTTCAAATATTTTCAATTGTACTCTGTTAAATATACTTGTTTTCATTGCTAAGTCACTAAATAGGTTATGAGTGTTAAGGTAATCAGAATGCTAATGGTTTATCAGGCATGATATTCCCCTCTGAAAAAAAAATCGGGGCCGGCCCAAAGAGACCCCCCACCGCGCGCCAAGAAATCGCCCGCCCGCCCACCGCTCGCGCCGCTCGCACCGCCCGCCCACCGCCCGCCCACCGCTCACACCGCCCGCCACTCGCACCACCCGCCGCTCGCACCGCCCGCCCGCCCGCCGCTCGCACCGCCCGGGCGATTCCCAAAAAAATAGGAATTCCGATTTTAATCGGAAAAATATCATGTTTGTTTATTTTGGATATATTCTACATGCTGAAATAGCAAATGTATAACAAGATAATTATTAATGGAACATTTGGGGTGAAAAGCAAAAACAAACTTTTATAATGAACAAGAATTTCTACGGGGAATGAAAAAGTGTGTTTGAGTATGTACACACACGTATTCTCTGCAATGCTATTTTGTTATATAGATTTGTTCTAGGTGATCAAGATATTTGTTTATAACAATTGTTCAATCAATATCTTTCCATAGATTGCGAATTGTTAGTACTTACAATCAAGAGGTACATCCAATGCAGCAATAATTTGGCATAAAAAAATAACCAAATGTATTCTTTTTTCAGAGATGCTGGGAATATCCATTCTTATTCAAAGATAGACCATGAAACTTGCTCTAGAATTATTACAAGCTCAACTTTCTGTTCTTTAAGATTTCTGGAATGTTTTTATTTATTTTGTATAAAGTTGTGCAGCCTAGAAAAGAAACAATGCCAAACAGAAAAAGAGAAGTAAATGCTGTAATTATCTTGAATTACTAATTAATATGATTCTATACTACGGCTGTTTCATCTGGCATAAAAATCAGCAAATATCAACATATGGGATATAACATGTAAAATGCAGGGACTCCAAATACAATTCTAATACTGTAATTTATCTTTTTACACAAAAGAGGTATCAAAATTTGAATGCAGAAATTTTGATGGCAAATTTGAAATATATGAAGTCATTCTTTGATATAATAAAACAGCAAGGAACCTTCTCAAAATTAACTTAACTTTCCTTCTTATGTAGCTGGTGCTATGTTTGTAGTTCAGAAACAGAATACACATTCCCATGTCTTAGAGAGAACACTGCATGAAGTATGGCTATGTTCAGGGAGTTAGTCTCCAGCTCTTTTCTAATTGGAGACAGAAATTTTGAGTCCTCTTCAAAAAGAAGACAAAATATTTAGGAACTATTTCTGAGTATGAAATTGAATTTTGTATATGTTTTACTCTGTGTCATTATTTTAGGCATCAACATATCATATTTACTCAGAGGATCAGTTTATAAATAATTCACACACACACACACACACATACACACATACACACATACACACATACACACACACACACACACAAACTATGTAACTATGCCTACTTACAGGAATGAAGTTTATTTCACAGGGTCCACAAGCATATCTTTTATTTTCTAAGAATATTCTGTTCCTTTATTTTCACACTTTTCGTTCCTTTAAAAAATATTATTCAGAAAGGGAAATAAAAAGATAAAATGATATAACTGTAATATAATACAGAAGAAAAGAACAAAGACATTCTCCAAACAATAAGCCATAGATCAGAATACTGGATTAATATGTAAAAGGTTCTCATTTTTAAACATCATGTTATACATATTGTTCAGCCTCTGCATTAACAAGCTTAAACATTGTTTCTCTTCCAAAATCATATTATATTTTATGTGATTTATGAACACCACATTATATCCTTCTTACTATTAATATTCCTACCTACATTAAGCAAACTATGGTGGCCATAGCCTGGCCATAGCCCTGCAAAATAACTGGGTCTTCACATTTTCTGCTTTTCCAGAAAGTTGTTACATTCATATAATTAAAATTGGGGGAGGAAAGAAAAAGATGTACTTCCATAAGCTGGACAGAAAGCAGAATCTACATACAATCAAGTATATAACATGCTTTTAAGAAAAATCGTATTTTTTAAAACAGATCCTCTATCTGCCAGGCAACATTTCAATCCAATACAAATTTGATTTTTCTTCTTATTTTCCTCAATTGTGTCTGATCCTCAGATATTGCCTGGAGAAATTTGTAAGACTGAGAGAAAGTGACTGGCCCAAGGTCACCCAGGTAGTTTCATGCCTCAGGTGGGACTAGAACTCAAGATCTTCTGATTTCTAACTTGATGCTTTAACCACTACACAAATTGGCTGTTTGAAAATGTATAGTACCAATAATATTTCTGAACAGCCACATATTTCCTCAGTAACATCAGTTTTCAGTTTTGGATACATAAAATCTTTATTCAAGCTGAGTCTAGAACAAGAATTTGATAGGAAATCAGTGTATTTAATTCAAAAAGCAGAACTCAATAAAGGCTTCTTCTTCTTTTTGAATAAACTTTATTAAGTTTTACAATTAAAACACACAAACAACGCTCAAACAAATTGGGAAGGAAAGAAGAACAAAAAGGGAAAAGGGGTAAACAATTAAAAACAATTACATCATCAACAATTTGTGGTTCCTTATTTATCTCATTATTTTGTGCCATATTTGCAATTAATGTAGTGCGAATATCTAATTACTACTATTAACACTCCTCATTCACAATTTTT